AAAAAAAAAAAAAAAAAAGAAGCAGCAGCAAACGTTAAAAATGGAGAAAAGTGTTTTTGTGCAGCTATACATTCTGTTTGTTAATGTTTCAAGCTAAGTGTCATTGCAAAAGACCCAAAAAGTTAAAAATAAAAAATTAAAGTGTATGGAGTAAAAAGTTAAAGTAAGGCTGAGGTTAATTTATCATTGAAGATAGAAAATTATTATTTATTTATTTATGGAGACAGTGTCTCACTATGTTGTCCAGGCTGGAATGCAGTGACTATTCATAGACAGAATCATGGTGCACTACAGCCTCTAACTCCTAGGCTAGGTTCAGGTAATCCTATGGGACTATAGGATGAACTACCACCCCTGGCTACAAAAATATTTTTTGAAATAACTTTAGTGGGCTCAGCGCCTGTAGCTCAGCAGCTAGGGCACCAGTCACATATGCTGGGGCTGGAGGGGTTCGAACCTGGCCTAGGCCGGCCAAACAACAATGACAACTGCAAAAAAAAAAAAAAAAACACATTGTGGCAGGTGCCTGTAGTCCCAACTACTTGGGAGAATGAGGCAAGAGAATTGCTTAAGCCCAAGAGTTTGAGGCTGCTGTGAGCTGTGACACCACAGCACTCTATGGAGGGTGACATAGTGAGACAAGAGTCAGTCTCCAAAAAAAAAAAAAAGAAAGAAATTTAGGGTAGCCTAGGTGTGCAGTGTTCTTATATATAAGTCTATAGTAGCACGCAGTAATATCCAATATCCTATGTAGGCCTTTCACAGTCACTGATTCACCCAGAGCAACTTCCAGCCTTGCAAGCTCCATTCATAGTAACTACCCTATATAGCTGTACCCATGTTTTAATCTTTTTTTTTTTTTTGAGACAGAGTCTCCCTAGGTAGAGTGCCATATCATCATAGCTCACAGCAACCTCAAACTCTAAGGGTTCAGGCAATTCTCTTGCCTCAGCCTCCCAGGTAGGTGGGACTACAGAAACCCGCCACAATGCCTGGCTATTTTTAGAGGCAGGGTCTCACTCTGGCTCAGGCTGGTCTCGAACCTATGAGCTCAGGCAATCTACCTGCTTTGGCCTCCCAAGTGCTGGGATTACAGGCATGAGCCACCAAACCTGGCCTCATTTTTAAATCTTTTATGCTGTATTTTTACTGTACCTTTTCCATATTTTGTTATGTTTAAATCCACAAATATTTCACCATTGTGTTAGAATGGTCTGTAGTATTCAGTATAGTTAACATGCTGTACAGACTAGCCTAGGAGTAGGTGTGTAGTACGTTTGTGTAAGTGCTGTCTATGTACCATGACAAAATGGTACATAGTGTTGTGTAAGTGATGCATGTACCATGACAAAATCATCTAATAATGCAGTTCTCAGAGCATATCCTGTCATTAAGCATCACATGACTATATTTTAAAATTAATTTCCCATTTCTTTCTTCTTTTTCAATTTTCTTATTGTTTTCCTTTTTAAAAAATCAGTTCAGGCTCGGCGCCTATAGC